CTGAGAGATTGTTTTACTCCCGAATTTGTGAAAGACATGACCGCGTCTGAGCGAAAGAAGGCCCAATCAGCGATGATGTTACTTGCGGAAAAGCAATTCGAAAAGACAATTAAAGGTCGCCTAGTATACCGAGGCGATGGAACTCGTGAATGGTTATCCCGAGAGGACACTGCAAGTCCAACTGCTTCGCAAGAAGCAATCACCATTACTTGTGTTATTGATGCACACGAAGGTAGAGAGATAATGACGCTGGACGTGCCTAACGCTTTCATTCAAACTTATATGCCTGAAGCTAAGGAAGGAGAAGATCGTATCTACACGAAAGTCACTGGCATGATGGTCCAGACATTGATTGACATGGCCCCAGAGTATCGCAAATAAGTTGTACTAGAGAACGGAAAGCAAGTAATCTATGTGCGGGTACTACGTGCTATATATGGGATGTTGCAATCGAGCCTCCTATTCTATAATCAGTTTCAAAGTGATTTGGAGGCAAAGGGATTTGTTTTCAATCCGTATGACCCGTGTGTTGCTAACAAAGTTGTTGATGAAAAGCAGCAAATAATGACAATGGACGTGCCTAACGCTTTCATTCAAACTTATATGCCTGAATCTAAAGAAGGAGAAGATCGTATGTACATGAAAATCACTGGCATGATGGTCCAGATATTGATTGACATGGCCCCAGAGTATCGCGAATATGTTGTATTAGAGAACGGAAAGCGAGTAATCTATGTGCGGGTACTACGTGCTGGTTGAACATGAGATATGGTTTGATCAAGGCATGTATAATCGTCAGAGGAAAGATACACAGATATCTTGGAATGACTTTGGATTTCTTGGTGAAAGGAAAACTCAAAATCCGCATGGACAACTATGTCAAGAACATGTTGGAAGATTTTCCTATCAAGTTCAACAAGGATTCAAAGCAGGAAACACCAGCTGGTAACGACTTACTGGAGGCTGGTAAAGGAAAGTTACTCAATGCTGAGTACCGTCAAATCTTTCATACTACTGTTGCAAGGGGACTTTATGTCTCTATGAGAGCTCGTTTGGATATCCATCCAACGATTACTATGCTTGCCTCGAGAGTTCGAGAACCTACAGAGTCTGATTGGAAGAAGTGTGTTCGCATGATGCGATATTTGTTTTGTACATTGTTGTATCACCTGACACTTTCCGCTGAATCACTACGAGTCATGAAATGGATGATCGACGCATCTTTTGCGGTGCATCCAGATTTCAAGAGCCATACTGGCGGCACTCTGTCCTTTGGAGGAGGTGCAGCTCAAGTGATGTCGAAGAAACAAAAACTAAACAGCAGAAGCAGTACAGAACCGGAACTGATTGCTGTTGACGATGTTGTCATGATGATACTATGGACAAAGTTGTTCATGGAGTGGCAAGGGTATCCGATCGAGAAGAATATCTTGTATCAGGATAACAAAAGCGCGATTCTACTGGAAGAGAATGGTCGCAAGAGCACGGGCAAAAGAAGCCTAGCTATCAATATTCGTTATTTCTTTATCACAGATCAAGTTGAGAAAGGAAATGTTAAGATCGAATACTGTCCAACTGACAATATGATTGCGGATTTTATGACAAGCCATTGCAAGGTGAGAAGTTTTGCAAGTTCAGGGATCTGATTCTTGGGTCCACAGGAATAGGTCAGACAAGTATGTATATGTTCAAAATACAAACAAAACAAAATAAACAGTGAATGAGAGCATGTCCCATTGCTGCCAATGGTGATTGTCACAATGGCAGGAGTGTGTTGGGATATGACGAAATATGAGTTTTTACGTTCCAAAAGAAACTATTCAAGTACAAAGTTTTTGACACGTGCGATCGGACTTTGATCGTGATGTCGGGATTTGACGCAAGTCTCCCGGACGCAAGTCTGTCGGCCAATCTGTATCCACACAAAAGGGGAAAGACATATATATATAACTGAATCATTAATTGGTATTATGCTACTTCTAGAGTATCCAACTGCTGGTGTAATACGGCTGTAGAGGCCAGGAACTAGGTTGCTTTTGGTCAACAAAGTTTGAAGTGGAATATCGAAGTTGTGTACGATGCAGTAGGGACTAATACAAGATGTCCCAAAGTACTGCATTCAGCACAGAATCCTCGTAGAAGTCGAATCGAGTTCTGTAAACAAGGGATTTTCCAAGGGAAAATTGTTGAACTCATTTTTGTGATTGAATCATCAATTCAAGCCAAACATTAATCAAATGGGAACAATTTCACTCAAAGTGTACCTAACACAGGAGAACTATTGTCGTGAAAGTGTTGTACAGTCGATTACAAATTTAGATTGCAGAGAGTTTGTTCTGAGCGCTAAAGGCACTCACGATAGAGCACATTTTGCTATATTCTAACATTCAGTGGTGCTCAAGTGTGCCAAGGATTCGATGCAACTCAGCTCAAACTTTAGCCATAAGTAAATGACGTGTAGAGCAATCAATAATGGCCGTTATTGATTGACTTAACCTATCTTGAGTCAATCAATAATGCGCATTATCCCATGCTCAATTATTGTCCTCGGCTATCGTGGACAGTCACGATCTATCCTGCCTAAAAATAATGAAGAAACCTTCGAGCATTGAGCGTACTGGTACACATACTCTTGGAGTTAATGATGAAAGTTGTTGATGTTGTGAAAGTACTGACATACAGTATGTCCGCTGTTCCACCACAAACTGCTCATTTGGCATAGTCGCAGCATGAGTGATATGCAAGACCTCTGAGAAATCTAGTCGCTACAGTACACAAGTCAAAGACAAAATTTATAAGTGTACAGGGTAGGGTCTGCAACTGGTGGTGGGAGAAGCAGACATAATGTGCCGTAAAGGCTAAAATAGAAGAAATAGAAAGTCGACAGAGTCGAACATATGGTCGATTGAGTTTGCCGAAAAAGGAACATGAATTCATATGTCGTCAACTGCGACTGGTGCGACACTGAGCTTCACAAAAATGGATATAAAGTACGTGTTTCCATACCGGTACATGATGGCGTCAGCCAAATGGCAAAGTACCATGCTGGTAGTAGTGCCAGGGGGATTCCCCCAAACCCCAATCTTTGGGGGGTGCCCCCCTCCCAACCCCCTCCAATGTCATCATAACGTTAATTGGACCAGAGAGTGTCCGTCATTCGTACGTTTAGATAGTTTAACCTAGAGATTCGCACACATCTTGTAAAATCCCCATGTTTGTCATCATACTCGTTTTCGTCCCAAATCTCTTGTACCTCACCACTCAATTTAACGGTTTATCAGACCTGAGCAATCCACAATGGATAGAGGAGCCTGGGAAGGCTTTCGAATAATATCTGTTTGAGGAAAGAATGGTAAGCGTTTCGTAACGGTTGTATGAGCTGATTGTTGTTTTTCCACCGCTCCCACCGTGTCTTTCTTCTTCCCATTGAACTTGCAAAAGTGCGACGCGCCAAGAGCCAAGAGGGCCAAGAGCCGACAGTCGCCATGGAACTGACCCACAGAGGCGGTCTTTCCTCAGCGCAAGAAGCTTGGACGAAAGAAGGAACGGTCGCAGCGCTGGATCCAACATCAGCCGCACTGTGGAGACCTTTCCGTTTTTCTCGCCCGAGGCGGCAGCTGGAGAGATTGCTTTTTGTAATTTCCTTGTCGTCGGTCGTGTGGGGGAGTGATGGAGCTCAAAGGCAAGGTGAATTGTTGCTTTGTGGGAGATCAAGACCGCTGCCTAGACGCGGATCCGGAGGCCTACCTACTTTTCTCGGCCTCCCGATATCAAGCGCCA